CAACTAAAAGTATCAATTTGAAGGCAGAATGAGGGAAATCACCATGCTTTATTAATTCATTTCTTCAGAATAGAAATTTTTATGTTCATTATTTGTCTCAATTTTTGCTTTGTTTAGGGTTTAGTTCAGTTGGGCAAAATAACAGCATTGCTAATGCTTAGCTTGATTATTATTGTTCATTATTTCAATAATTCGTAATGTTTGTGCAAGAAGGAAACTAATACTTTTCTTTGATAAGATAAAGTTTACTTCAACAAACAATTGTTAGTTGTTACTAAAGCAATTCTATGATACAATTTTTCCCTTTCAAATAATGTATTTCTAATAAATGTAATCCAGTGTATTTAAGATTACAAAAGTACATCAGTATGTGAAAAAGAAATGCATGTGTACCACTTTCACTTATCATTCTTGTCTGACATGTTGAAAAGATGACAATATGAATGAACGTTGAATTAATAGGAAGCTTAGACATTGAATGATCAGTGTGTAAGCTTCCTATTCCTGCTGAAAAATGATTTTGCTGAATAAAAGGAATCTGATCGAGATGTGCTTACCAGCAAGAGACAGTAGTGAGAATAAGGCATCCAAAGGTCTGGGATAGTTTCAGTGTAGGCAGTTTGTGTGAATGCATCCCACTCTTGCAAGCTACTACCATTTGGGTTTTAGCTATTCTGCCTGTTTCTCCCACCACTAGTTCCAGTCCCACCTTAGGCACAAAGGCAGCTGGGTGACCTTGAAGCAGTCACTCTCAGTCCTAGAAAAGAAGTGGCAAACCATTTCTGAAAGAACTCCAGTGAGTACAGTACTCCAGGCAGTTGCCAAAAGTCAAAAACTGACTCGAAGGCACAATAATTCTATATAATTATACTGGTACTTTGCATGCATGCTCTACATTTTAAAAAGCCCGTTTTCGATTCAATTACTTCTCTTCTGCTGCATCCCTGGTGAGTAAAACAGCTGATGCTCAGCAAATTGCTCTGCCGTGTGAATCAGCTGTGCTAAAAAAAAAAAAAAAGGAAATAAAGCACAGGAAAGAGCAGGGGTGGGTGGATGGGTGGGGCCAAATGCTCACCGGAAATACCAGTTTGCCCGAACCGGTCCAAACCAGTAGAATCCCATCCCCACTGTTATGTCTTGTTGATGTTGCATTTCCAAAATAGAGTTTATTCTGTTGGTTTACTGCGCTGACAAAGGATAAAATGCTATTATCAGTACAATAATTCACAATAATATAAACAGTAAATTCCTTCAAATTTATTTTGTACCATTTGAGAAGCTTTTATAGGCAATCACATTATTGTAGCGTTTTTGCCACTATGCCAAATTCCATTTCAAAAATTGAGATATCAATGTATCATTTGCAGCACCTAAGAAAAGCAATCCACATGTCTGCTTAATTATGTAACTTATTATTCAGCCACATGTGTTTTTTTTTAAATGTGGATTATCTCAAGGGTAATCATAGGGAAGATGAAAATGAATGATTAATTATGTTTTCTTACGCCAATACACCAGCTGTTAGTTTGATCATATGCCACATACGGAAAGCAATTGTGATCTATCAGATGGGAAAAGGGAGACAAGATATCGTAACTGTGAGCCAGAAATCCAAGATTGGAATCTCCAATGGCCAATTGGACCAGCAACATTTTGTGGGCTGAGGAAAAGATATATATCACTGTCATCTGGAAAAGAATTGTTGCCTTTTTATTAACTGTCTGAAATGGGGAAAAAAGATAGATGCTATAAAAATCTTAATGGATCCAAATCAATAACTTATTTTATAAAAATAATGAACTCAGTGTTGACATGGTGACAGTGATAATGGAGGCATGGTGAAGAATTCCAAATTGATTTTTTTTCCTCTCCAAATGGCAAACAGACAAGAAGACGGTGAATAATAATCAATATTAATTTAAAAAAAACCTTGCATATTTGGGAACATATCTATAGTAGTGGACATCTTACTGAAAGGCGGTGCACCTTTCTGCACCAGTTTGAAAGCAGCTCTAGACTTCTTGACAGCACAATTGGTAATGTCCATCATATTAGACATTCACAGTAAAACTTTGGGTTTTCTTCTGCAACATTTGAAATGGTGGGCTTGTGGATAGTCTGATTTCCCAATCGATAGGAACGCTTCTTTAATGCTGTGCTGCCAGGAGTCCTTGGAGACTATGGTGGTGTAAAAATATAGCAGTAAATAAATATATGAACTCTTGCCTTGCCCTGCCTCCAGAACTGAGAGCAACCATTACTTTCTCTTCTATGGTCTCAACTTCAAAATGCATCTTTTCAAGGCGTCAAACCAGTAGCCTGCATTTTGCAGTTTGTTTTTCTCCTCTGGGATATAGCCTTATTGATTTCATGCGCTCTTGCTTAGCCCAGGCAACTGTGCGCCTTCACAGAATTGCAAGTTTCTGAAAACTGTTTGGGGGAAAAATGCAGCTGCAATAAGCAAATATTATTAAAAACAGTGTAAAAAACATGTTGGGAAGTACCAACAAAGCTATCCCTTTACTTGCAAAAGCCCCCAGTTGCTTTTAAATAAATAAATAAAAAATGAAAGAATGACAGCTGTGTGGTTGGATAGGTCTTAAATATAATTTATAAATAGCCAGATAATTGGTTGAATGCAATATGTACTTAAAAATGGATGGGGAAGCACTACTAATTTATTTGCTTTTTTTTTTTTTTGAAAGGACATTTTTATTCCTTTAAAATTGAGGGGATAGCACATTGATTACATAATGTTGTTCTGCATTCTTTTATAGTCTCATGGGGTAACTGGGAGGATTGTTGATTGGTTGATGGTGTTCATCGCCTCTTTCCAGTTTTTTTTAGGTCAGCAGGACTGAAAAGGATTGCAGATCTCTTTTATACTGTTTTGGAAGATTTGTGAAGTGAAATTGACGGCAGTCTATAGGAGTAATTATTTTTTTAATAGTAAATTTCCTGTTAGGAAAAGATTGACCGTATCATAATAGGAAGAATTTACAGTAGACCAGAGGTGGTATTTAGCAGGTTCTGACCAGTTCTGGAGAACCGGTAGCGGAAATTTTGAGTAGTTCAGAGAACCGGCAAATACCACCTCTGACTGGCCCCACCCCCATCTATTCTCTGCCTCCCGAGTCCCAGCTGATCAGCTGGGTCTTCTTTTGTTGCCCCACACAGAAGAAAGGAGCTGGAAAGCAGGTTAGTGGGGTGGGGGAGGAAATGGAGATTTTACAATATCCTTCCTCTGCCACGCCCACCAAGCCATGTCCATCAAGCCATGCCACACCCACCAAGCCATGCCCACAGAACCCGTAGTAAAAAAAATTGAATCTCACCACTGCAGTATACCGTATTTCTCTGTTAATATCAAGAAGAGTCTTTGTTCCCCTTTCATAAAAAAACTTTTGTTGTAGATTTCTGCCTTTTATCCTGATATGATTCTATTGAAATGTTCAATCATGCTTAATTATCAAGGCATTAGATTCATAAGCTACCTTTCCCTCAGCAGCTCTTGGATTTAATAATGAAGTGGAACATCACAACATTGTCTCTATTGTTTCATTGACTTCACTGATGAAATAGCAGATTTAAGCAATAAATGTGCTTATTCTGCATTCATTTAATAATTAAGGATTACAGTCCGGTGCCAAATTTTGAAAAGCCTCAGAGAGGTACATCCAGTAATTAATAAGTGGCAAGTATTGGATAAAAACCTTTCCATGAATTTGATATGAACATTTATTTACAATCACATAGTATGTTACTTCTGGTGGAAAACACAGTACCTATGAAAAAGGTCTGGAATATAATTTTTGTTTTGAATTTGTATCGGTGACTTCACATGGTTTATGTATTATAAGAGAATACCAGAAGTCATTGTGTGCAGTGATTTCTTAAAAAATGATTATGTATTAGTACTGTTTTCTAAGGATTTTTCACTGTGGACAAGGCCATCCAAGAGAAAGTCAATAAGATTGGAATGACTGTATGATTAAAGCTGCACCCCCTTTTTTACACAAATGTGTGTAAAACCTCAGTTATGTGGTCGCAACCATCATATTGATTTTTTTGCCTGTGAAAATGGGAAATATACTTTGCTGGATATGACCAACTATAGGTCAAAATCAAGAATGAAATATTAAGGAAATGTTAATTTCTGAGATTTTGTTGCTGCTTTATAAATGTTATCAATGAATGTTTCTTTTTCAGGCATAGTAGGGAGTGGTACAAGTTAATAGAATAACATAGAATAACAGAGTTGGAAGGGGCCTTGGAGGTTATCTAGTCCAACCCCCTGCTCAAGCAGGAGAGTCTGTTCCAAATATTAGCCTCTACCTAGGATTGAACTCCCACTGTTTGGTGCCAGTCAGCAGATGTTCCTGGTATAATCTGATAGCTGTATAATTTCTGTTTCTTAATAAGTAAGAAAAGCTTCAGTGCTTGATGTGGTGAGACTCAGGCTCTGTCAAGTTCCCATCATCTTTAACAGCTCAGCTGAGGTAAAAAAAATTACCGCTGCAAGTAAAATATTTTGTGATGCACTTTAATCTATGTAGCCAGTTGAGCAAGGTATTATGACTAAAATTGGTTTTTTGTTTTTGATTTGAATCAAATCTGTCCTATTTTAAAATGTTCAGGTGAATTCTAGTACATGTTTTGGGGATTCACCATTCATTGTCACAAGAATTACAGTAAGGGTAAATAGACCTGGATAAGCTATAGTCTTATAATTGGGGAAAAATAAATCTGCTAGGCTCTTCTAAAGAGTAACAATGTGGTAACCATTTATAGTACTGAAAACAAGCTACTGCAATCATACTTATACCAGTTTACATTGTAGGCATTTAAACATTGCATGTCCTAGGTTTATTTAGTGCTGAATCAACTTATTTACAAACGTAGTAGTGAATTTCAGGGAAAACTATTCAGCCAATTCTAAACCAGAAGGTGCTGAAGGTGCATACAAGAATGTTATCTTTTTCCCCCCATTGATTTTATAGGTCATAATGACTACATGTGCCCTGCTACCAACCAGTGTACCATTGACAAGAACAGAAGGAAAAGCTGCCAGGCTTGTAGGCTCCGAAAATGCTATGAAGTTGGAATGATGAAAGGTGGTATGTATGACCCTATAAATCTTAATCCATTTTACAAATATTTTTCATCCCCAGAAATCCCCTATGTGACTAACTTTTCACTCATTAATCACCTTGCATCTTTTAATATTTACCTTCAGTTAAATTGGCATATGGTTACAGCTTAATTGACTTTTATCTTTAATGCTGAATTCCTATTTTTGAAGTTGTTATGTAATCTCACTTTTAAAGGAAAGGAAGAAAACTTCTCAATTTATGATCACAATTGAGCCCAAAATTTAAGTTGTGAAGTGAAAAATTTGTGAAGTGAGTTTTGCCCCATTTTACGATTTTACTTGCCACATTTGTTAAGTGAATCACTGCAGTTGTTAAATCAGTAACATAGTTGTTAAGTGAATTGGATTTCCCCATTGACTTTGCTTGTAAAAATATTGCAAAGGGGGATTACGTGCAGAGGTGGTATTCAGCAGGTTCTGACCAGTTCTGGAGAACCAGTAGTGGAAATTTTGAGTAGTTCGGAGAACTGTCAAATACCACCTCTGACTGGTCCCACCCCCCATCTATTCTCTGCCTTCTGCGTCCCAGCTGATTGGCTGGGTCTTCTTTTGTTGCCCTGCACAGGAGAACGGAGCTGGAAAGCAGGTTAGTGGGGTGGGGAGGGAATGGAGATTTTACAGTATCCTTCCCCTGCCACGCCCACCAAGCCACGCCCACCAAGCCACACCACACCTGCCATGCCACGCCATGCCACACCATGCCACACCCACCAAGCCATGCTCACAGAACCGGTAGTAAAAAAAATTGAATCCCACCACTGTGTGTATGGTACATTTTTAATGGTATTTTTGTTAAAATTTGAGGTTTGGCTTATCCACAGATGGGCTTCTACATGAGTATATAATAGCTTCCCTCCTTTTCCCCTCTCAAAGTAAATTCTGGATCAGACCTAATTTATATTAGGATTTCTGCTATTCTGTAACACCTAGATACAAACTGTGAATGGGGCTAATGATCACCATCTTCCTTTAAATGGACAAGTGCTTTTGATTAAATGCTTTTTCAATAAATGCTGTGAAAATGAATATGACTTAAGACCAATCACACAGTCCTTTTAGCTTTTGATGATGAAATGTTGCACACACGGTAAATAGTGATTTCCCCTAACTGGAAATACAATTTCCATAATAGAAAAATAAACATGACTGATTATTCCTAGATGTAAAGTGGCTATTATTAATCTATAGATTGCTGTTTACAAATAATTATTTAACTGATACTTCTTTATAAACTTTGATTAGAAAGAGAAAACATTCCTTCCATCTCGTGATCTTTTCTAGTACATTTTCCACTAAGCATTGTTACTAAAAGCAGTCTTTTAGAAACTGGTTCATTTATTAGTTAATTAAATATTATTTTTTAAAAAAGTATGACAGTTAGTCCTTACTGTAGAAGCTTTCAGAGATTAATTCTTTTAGAGAAACATCTAGATTCACATTTAACTCAGTGAAAATGTTTTAAATTAAAACCATTAGCTATTAATTCACAATGATTATCTTTAAAGACAGACATTTATTCCCTGTTGAAAACAGTTCTTCAAAAGTTTATATCTACCCTTTCCCAGTTTTCTGTCATTGTATGATGAGATTATATTGAGTGACAAATAAAACAAGGAAACAGATGTTTTATTTTTTCCCAGAAACACAGATGCATTTATTTTAATGCATCATCTGAACTGATTCTAAGAATTCAAATTTGCCATTCAATTATTTCATGCTTCAGTGTTACAGTATACTTAAATTAGTAAAAGAGGAAACTGCTGAAAACTATTTGTATTACTCTGAACTGACTCTCTATAATATCTATGAAATAAATCTGTTCAAATGCAAACTGGTTTACAGGTAAAGGACATCATTACGCTTATCAGTACTTGTGTATTTGCAGAGCCAATTAGTTGAAACATCATTGTCAAAACAAATTTTCCTTCAAAGGACTGTGCATACACAGAGTGTGCCTGTTATTTAAATGTTCTTCACAGTGAAAATCTATGATTATGTCAGCTCTTCACTTTTCTAATGTGTAAGATATACTAAATGCAGAAGTGATTTTGTGGGAGCTGGCTGATCAAGTGCATTTGCATTTTTGCCTCTGTGTTTATAAACTTGCTTTTCTCACTTTTCTCTGACCAAGGTTCCTCTGAGTGTAATTTGGCTAGGAGATTAAGTGTGAATAGGAAGGTCAAGTCTAAAGTAAAGTCTTTGCCTCTCTTAAATAAAGGCCAAATGTAAAATTGAAACAGATATCTCTGAAGGTATCTTAGTCTCTTCTGAAGTAAAGGGAATCTTTTCTGAAGCAGAGAAAATCCTATCTCTAAATCTTTGGACCCATGTAAGAAGTTTTCCTGGCTTCATGCATGCCCTGGGTTTCATCGTCCTCTTCAGATAAGGAGATGTCAGAGAATAAAAATACAGAATTTGAAATTCCTGTCTTGATCAAAGTTTCACAGCTTATATCGGATCCAGTCTCATCAAATTCATTGCATGAATTTGCATCTTTAATTTCTTATCTTGATCCATCACTCCCAAGTGGAGGAACAGAGGGCTGAATGGCAGAGAAATCACAGATTGCAGAGTTGTGCTTGGTGGGAGAGATTGCTGGTTTGGAAGTCAGAATTGTGGTGGGCACCAATGGGTCTGAAGAAGACTATTAACGGGAACTTCATTCATTCTAAATATTTGTATACCATTTCCTTTAGAAAACTTTAGAACAGGTTTGTAATAGCATCCAAATAGTTCAAAGAGAAAGCAAAACAGTTGATTAGAGCATATTGTATACAATAAACAGAACAAAATAAACAACAAAATATACAGTCAAACAATAAGGAAGAAAACAGAGGAGAATCAGGCAATTGCAAAGCAATGAGAATATGGCTGTTTGCAGTACGTACATTACACAAATGTTGTTAATATCATTATGCTTTTCAGATTTCAAGTTGTAAGTGCAATGACTATAATATTGATGTTGTTGGTTTGTTGAGCTTTAGTATATATACAGTGAACAACCAACATACTGTTATGTCTTGTTGATGTTGCATTTCCAAAATAGAGTTTATTCTTTGGTTTACTGCACTGACAAATGATAAAAATGTCTTAACTGTTGCTATTACCAGTACAATGTTAATGTTGTTTGTTGAAGAACTCTTTTGCCTAACCCTAACCTTCTATGCTGGGGTTGACAGGTTGGGTGGTAAAGGAACAATCAGCAGGGAGTAGAATTCAGCTTCTTTTGTAGCTGTGAAATAAGCAAAGGGGTTTCTCTGAGTTTCCGGTGTTTCCAGTAGCCAGAACATTTGAAAACTCCCTGCTTTTGTTCTATATGGACCACAGAACTCAGTGAATGCCAAATTTTGTCCCAGAAAAATACTCAAAATGAAAAATTCCAATAAAACATTTTGAAGGGGGTTGTTTTGTCTATGTGCAAAACTAAATACATTTTCCATGTAGGACTCACACTTATTTTTCATAATGGTCTGTGTACGAAAATAACTCATCCATCCACCTATTGCTGAAAGAATTCATCATCATCAATCTCCACATAAGGGACAGGCAATGAAAGCAACTTCTGCCCCGGGCAGCATACTTAATCATTATTCTAACCACAGCCTCAGGAACTTCCTCTATTTTTTATTTCACATGCAGCAGAGAATCAAATGGTTTACCTACCCCATTGGTTGTTCTGGATAGGATTTGGATATTATTCTCTTCA